TAACTGTACCCTGAAACCCACAGACAGAATGTGAAAACAAGCACATTTGTTCTTCTGTGTGACATTTGCTGCAAATCCATTTCTATTTTGTTTTCATGCATTACACTTCCGCATGGTTGCCCACCTCAACAATTTGTCCAATTTTGATGTCTTGATATCTGAAGAACTTTGTTTCAACAGTGCTCCTATAAAACAAAAGAAAACAGAAAAACACATTCTAAAACAAACTGGCAACCCAGAACACCCTAGCAACCACATAACAGCATCCTAGCAACCAACCTGCGCAGCGTGCCCAGGTGCATTTGCTCCATAGGACTGTAATCGATGATTCTCAGAGTGTGTTCAGGCTAGGTCAGCAAGCGGTTTGGGTTGAGTTCTTCTTTTGCCTCCTTCATGATGTTTTTCTACATGTAAAATGCAAATAAATCTTCATTAGACTCTCAGATCACCGTGCATGTGTGTGGTACATCATTGTCAAGACTGGCTTTGTACTCACATGCACAGAGGCTGTGGTCCCGTCCGGCATCTTCATCAAGGCTCCAGAGTGATGGTGCAAAGAAGTCATCTTACAGCCCTGCACCACCTCACCCACCCGCTCACTGAAGACCTCATCCAGCACAGCGCCCCCTGGTGGCAGGAGATGCCTGCGCAGGGACAGGCTCACATCCCGTGTGGAGGGCTCCACATACAGAACCCGTGCCAGGACCTAAAAAAAGAGCCGGAAGAAAGAACTCCATTATTGACTGAGAATCAGTGTTATTGTAGTATGATTAATTATATACTATTATAGTTTTAGTTAATTATTTTAATTCGTTTTTATTTTTATAGTTTCAGTTTTCTTTATAATTTTAGTTACATTTTTATTGTTTTTTATTTATTTTAAATATTACTATTTAGGTTAAATGTTTTTATTGTTATTATTATTATTACCGTTTTAGTTCAGTCTTTTTTTCTTATTTGCACTTAGTAATTTCAGTGTTTCAACTTAATTGGAAATGTTGCCTTGGCAGCTAACCGAAATAAGTTTATATATTTCAACTGATATTGATATTTTACAGGGTTTCTGTGGGTTTTCTGAAGGTCACTGTATGACCCTTTAAAGAACTTTTTAAGTCCAATATTCGTAAAAACAAGCTACATTTCCTTGAGAAGCAAAATGACATCAAATAAGATGTTTTGTTTTCTGTGAAACTGATCAAAATAAATTGAGTTTATGATTAAAAAAGAACAAATATCTGCCATTGAGCTCTGAAAAACCTACTTAATTCAAACGGAAAATAAGTTTTCGTTCCCCACTGACAGATGTTTGTTCTTGTTTTAAACTCGCTTCATTTTTTTCAGTTTCTCAGAAAACAACAATTTGTATCTTCATTGCGCATCTCAAGTAAATGTATCTTGATTTAAGGACGTTTGTATTGGAAAACAAGATAAAAGGAAGATATTCATTTTTTGCAGTGCATGCAACAATTATTGCCGTGTTATAATTATTAAATTTATGAATTTAAGACTTTCTGCTCTGAATTAATACCTTTTTAAAGGAAGGGTGAATTAAGACTTTTTAAGATCCACAGAAACCTTGATTTTTTTTCTTATTTCAGCTTTATTTTTATTTAAATAGATTTTAATAGTTTTAGTTACCGATAATAACCCTGCTGATAACCAAACGATTCAGTTAAAATAGTGGTAAATCCACAGCCATCAAGTGAAAACACTTTCGACGACAATTTTAAAGCCCCGTCACTATGGTCTTTTGACTCATACCTCGTCTCCTGTGTTGTAGGTAGA